GCTGCCATAGTATCGTATTGGTAACTCAAAAAGTGGTAGGCAAATTTGCATGGTTTTAGGAGAGATCTACATCTTCAATTCCAGCTACCTATAGAATATAAACCCGACATAAAAAAAAATGTATGCGATTTCCGAACATTGTTCGTTTATGAAGCAATACCGGTTAATCGGTTAGTAATTAGGTCAGATATCACGGGGAGTGATATTGTATAGCTAGTTCCGTGTTATCAGTCGTGATGATTGGCAGGCAGTTCGTTTACCGTAGTGGTGATGATAGTTACTCGTTCTAACTGATTGATTTACATTGAAATGCTCATGTGACGTTACCTCGCTCCACGGTTACCTGTCGGGTTGTTATTTGTACTTAAAGCAAACGAACAACTGCGGACTGATCGCGACATGATGTATTCCCAATTTTTGCAACTTGGCCTTTGGCTCACTGTAATCACACTTTTATCGCATATAAACTAGAAATACGGTACTTTATATGTCCGATCTCCAGGTGCAATACAATGCCCTCTAGTGGTGAAGCACTTTTGTGACGTACATAGATGAATGAAAAGTCGTATCTTGTGGGCATAGTTTTAATCTGTAATCGTCCGTTGATGAAAAAAAACACACATTTGAGTGATTACTATATTCTTGCCGACAAGCGACTATACGACCATACGCTATGAACGGCATTGCATTCAAACAGCTAAACCAGGAACTGGAGGGCGCGACGCATATACAACTAGGTCTTGTTTTGTTTGTAGCGTCCCGCTTGTAATACTTTTAAAATTGTGTTCTGTCATTCTGATGCAATGTATACATCAGCGCACTCTAGTACAATACTATAATCCTTCCATTCTGTTTAATAAATGCACAACCAATTATATCTTAGTTTTGTCTCTCATAAATTTCGAAAGAGAAAACAAAACCCTCTCCAAAAATGGGATGTAACTGATTCGAGTCCGCCAATGCTGTACGAACCAATTTATCTTTAATATTGGTGCGACGCATGTATGCCATAATAGGGGAGAGGGATAAATATCTTGGGTATAATTAGAAGAAGATAGTAAATCAAATTCTTCAAAAATAAGTTTACGAATATGTTGACTGAAAGGGTGGTAGGTAAGAACCAAAGGGATGCGGGTAGACTGCAAAGTGGGGGTTGGTGTTAATGCATCATCCTGGTTTAATTGCTGAACACGATGGGTGGCACTGTAAATGACTGATTCAGTGATTGCGGGTACCCCCGTAACAAAACCATAAACCCATTTTATTAATTTAATATTCAAAATCAGTTTGACCAGAACAAATGCGATGGACTCGTAAAAACTGAGAGAATGGTATAGTCTTTACAACGTTCAGGATGACATGAATCATACAAAACGTATATGAATGTGAATCTGTCGGTTTATAAAACATAGAGGTGGATATACCATCATCATAGACTGTTACTGAGATATCTAAAAAAGGAATGCTGTTGCTGCAAACAATGGAAGTGAACTCTAAAGATGGATGAAATGTTGGTTCAATATAAATAAACTTATCAAGTTCACTGCGAGTACACGATGCTGTCCCAACACAATCATCAATATACCGTTTAAAAACGTTCTGGCCGGTATAAGTATTAAAAATAGCTCTTTCAATGTACCCAACAAATAAACATGCATAGGAAGGGACCATACGGGTGTCCATAGCAACGCCCCGAACTTGAGTATAAAACTCATTGTTAAATGAAAAACAATTGTTGAAACAAGCTCTGAAAGGCGCACCAACACGCTGGTAGGGGGATTTTGACTGACATGTTGATTTAGAAAAAATGACAATGCTTTGAGGCCATCAGTATAAGGGATAGAAGTGTACAGTGTTTTGACATCCAGTGTAAAAACAAAACGGTATGTACCGGTATATTTGATGGCGTAGGAAGAGTCTTTTATAAATGTGGGCAAAGACTACACTATGGGAGAGAAAATTGTATCAAGATATGCTGAAATGAATACGATAGGACATGAACAAGCAGATACAATAGGTCGTCCCGGGTTACCAAATTTATGGATAAAAATGATATGTTTCTGTCTAAAACTAAACATGATTCACTCGTCATTAATCACGACATTCCAGCGGCGAATTAATATTTACATTTAAATTATTCATAATTTAATTCCAAGTTGGTCAAGCGTTCTTTGCTTGTATCGAGGTCATATATTATTGTGTTTATTGCTTTGATTGACATTATCAATGTGAAATCTAAAATAATTCTCTAAGCTTACTTCGGGAATTGTGAGTTTAATTCTGTAAATAACACTGCGATAAAGAAATTCTTTCGTTTTTATGCAGAAAGATACAGTATTTGCACTAAGTAAAATCATATTTATTTAAAATCATATAAGTTATTGCTAATACATAAGTTGTTGAACACCCTACATAGTTTGTAATTTCATTCAGCTTCTTTCAGTCATAATTCAAGACGAATAAAAGGCAAACATATTATTCTGTAATATTCTTGTGTAATCGGTAACTATGAAAATTATGGGTGCATAGAAAAAAAATACATTTTGTTATGAATTATTCGTAATATATATTCCTGAATTATCTTGTCAAAATCAGTTTTTTCACAGTTCACAGTTTCACAGTTTTCACAGTGTTTTCTTTCAAAAAACTAAAGAATTTCACAATGTCGAAAACGGAAAGTCTTTATTGTAATGTTGAATTTAATTTTGAAAGAAATTGTGACCATTTCCACGTTACAATGCACAATTTATTTTGTAGGCATTTCATCGGTGTATCAAATAGAGCGACCAATAACAGTGTCTTGGGGGAATGTGGCAGATACCCAATCTGGTTTTATACAGCCAAACGTTGTGTGAAGTACTGGGCTAAAATTATCAATATGCCCAAAAATAGATACCCACGTAAATGTTGTATACTATAGAAGAATCTGGGGTACGATCAAAAAGTACGTGGGTTGCAGAAGTTAACACATTGCTGTCTTTATGCAATCTTGACCATTTTTGGTATTCCCAACAAGTTGGTAATATCAACTTATCCTTGGATTTTTTTGCGAAAGATTTAAAAATTATTTGTACAGTGAGTGGTTTAGTGATATTTGTACCATGACTAAATTAGATACATATTGTGAATTTAAAACAAATCTAATATTAGAGAAATATATCAATTCCATAACAGTTATTTCACACTAAAATGTCTTATCACGCTTTCGCTGCTCGGCACACCCAGGCTGTCTTCCCATTGAAGTATGTAGAGGAACAATAGAACCAAATAGAAACAAACCAAATAGAAGATGAGTGCCACTTCATGTTAGTCTGTCTTTTTTATAATGAATTTCGTGATAGATATCTACCCCGTTACTTCTATGATCCACCATCTTTCAACAAATTTATTCTTTTAATGAAATCACATGAGGATGTCATTTTGAAACGCTTTGGTGTATATGTATTTCATACATTAAATGCTAGCTACGAAATTTCAGATTTATTGTAATATTTACTGTCTAACGCACAAATGTTTTTTGTTTTTGTATTCACTTTATGGGCCGAAGGCCTTTAATATTTGTGACTAAAGACCACAAACAATTAACGCGATGCATGCAACATTAGTCTGGAGTGAAGAACTATAAAATCTGTCTCCCGCGTAATAACAGTAGAAGTGAGATTGGCGCAATTTTCTTATTAATGTTGCGAACTCTGTTTATCTGAGGATCGTGTAACCCATTCTTGGTTACAAAGATAGGTATGAAGGCTCCAGACTGATCCAATCCACATATATGAAACTTATATCTCGGAACATTGCGTAGAATTCCTTTTCAACTTTGCATATATATATAAGCGTTATATGTTGGAAAAATGTAGTTTTTTCCAAGTAGTAGATGTAGTACTCGGAATATCTTTTCTCTTCGATGAATTTTATGGAAAGACATAAACCACGAGGTGATCGACGGTAGTGTACATTCCCAATCATATTACTGTAAAGTAATTTATTATCACATGGAATTAATTTTCGCTGAGGGATGATTCAGTAGTATGTATGTTATTGGTAGTTTATTGGGTTTTATTAGAGCAAATTGGGTTAGTGTTTCTGTAATGTTGTGAGCAGACAGTTTGAAGCAATCTATTGTCTGTGCTGTATGTTATGTTCGATTTCCCTGCAGAAATATAGCCAGTCACATACTAGTAATAATTTATAACTGAAAAACTCCAGATTGAAAACAGGTTCCCTGAGGTTAGAAACACACTCAAAATGACATTGTGAGTTCCATTACCGTTCTATCCCATGAATCATTCACTTCACAGTCTGCCGGGAGTGATGTCATGTTATCATACCAGAGTCAGTCGTGGCTGCCAAATATGCTTTATTTCAGTGTTTCATTAAATGTGGTGTACACAATTTCGGGTGGGTTTTAAAAATGAATATGTTAGTTTCGATATTATTACGCGTATTCCTTTAATATGAGAATACTTGGTTTGGATACCATACGTTATGTCCTCTCTACGATCAAGAACAACTTTATATCTCAATTCCGACATGACACGATTTGAATATGTTTATATTTTTACCGTGACAATACATATATCTCTAATAGACCTTTAAGCTTAATTATGTTATGTTAAATAAGATGGTCTTAGAATTAGTATGAAATGCTTTACATTTTTTTGAAGAAACTAATTACTGTAAAAAGAGCAAACCGTTGCTTATCCCGATCCTAACACAGGAAGTTCCCATCACTCCTAGCACTACTCCCATCATTCCCAGCACTACTCCAATCATTCCCAGCACTCCTCCCATCATTCCTAGCACTACACCCATCATTCCCAGCACTTCTCCCATCATTCTCAGCACTACTCCCATCTCGTCAAGAATGATAATTTTACCATCCTATCATTATAACATCTCCGCCCTCTTCTGCAATTTTGATGTCATCAGTTGCTGCTATGGTAACAAAGAAGGTTGCCCCTCTATTATTGTTACACAGCCACAACTTGAGTGTGCAATCGTGATGTAATCGACTACTGCCATGGTAACAATGAAGGTTGCCCCTCTATTATTGTTACACAGCCACAACGTGTGCAATCGTGATGCAATCGACTACTGCCATGGTAACAAAGAAGGTTACCCCTCTATTATTGTTACACCACCACCACTTGTGCAATCGTGATATAATCGAATGCTGCCATGGTAACAAAGAAGGTTATCCCTCTATTATTGTTACACAGCCACAACGTGTGCAATCGTGATGTAATCGAATGCTGCCATGGTAACAAAGAAGGTTATCCCTCTATTATTGTTACACAGCCACAACGTGTGCAATCGTGATGCAATCGAATGCTGCCATGGTAACAATGAAGGTTGTCCCTCTATTATTGTTACACCACCATCACTTGTGTAATCTTTCTGCGTCCAAAGTGGAATAACAAAATACAACAATATTACCAACAAACCTTACTGCAACCAATTAGACTCATTTTTTTCATAGCAACACAATAAAATCGTCAATTATCAGATATCGAAACCAAAGTCATGTTCAAGAATACTTTCTCTCTAATGGCGTTTTTCTCCACATGCATGTGTATAGTGCGCCATCACCGACGCCCCCCAGTCGTGGCGTATATTTAAATTTCGCTTGATAACGTCTCTATCATCTGCAAATTATTAGCTGAACTACAGTGACGATCGAATTACTGTACTTCATTTACAGCTGCATCTAGGTCATTCGTTGTCTTTGATCTTGACACAATAATAATTACTTTTAAGTTTAATTAATTTGTAACTTTCTAGGAGATAGTTCACTAATTGTTCACGTTAAAACAGTCCTCGTACATCATATACATGTACTTATATAAGTCAGTTAGAAATGGTGTACATTTGGCAAATAATTCTCTGTTTATCCACGGCAAAATACGAAGAAACCTTTATGGGATTTTTTTTTACTGAAACTAATTTCTGACTATCGAGACTAATTGAAATGTTATCTTTCCGCACTTTTCTTTATCACACCATCTATTCATCGCGAAATGGGCTCAAATTGACGTATGATATATGTTCCTGTGTGCCGTTGGATATGAGTTCTAGCTACAAAAATCACTATCTTATAAAGCGACAGTAAAAAATTGAACTCGTAGAATTAACAGGACACGACTAATTCAGCATAAAAAAAATAGTTTTGGGTGATTCACCGGAATGTCCTTAATAACAGGAGAAGAAAGTTCTAATCACAATTAAACCATTAATCGTTTTCCTCTCTCGCTACCATAACGATGTTAAGCCGTCCAGCGTTTTTTGGAAATATCACAGTGATAATGAATGGATGTGGAGTGACGGAACAATCAATCATCAAAGTAGAGGATTATGGGTAGAAGTTGTCAAAAGTACGCTAATAAAGTTCACTTCAAAACATACTTTGTGCCAAATGACCGTCAGCGCCGTGAATTTATTGTTTTGACCTCAAATACCGCGGTTTACATTTAACAATAACTTCAGTACTTACTTGCGTTTTATTTTTGTTGCTTCTTTCCAGCTTTAGTATTCAAATGAATACAATTATCCGAGTCATATATTCAAACATTATGTAACAATTTATATCTCATTATCGATTTACACATATTACACAATTTTCCAAGTATTCACTCTTCGGTGAAACACACAAAGTAGAGACATTCAAATATAACCCATGAACCCATAATACGATTCATGGTATGCAACTGAATACTAGTATCCAGGGTATGTAACTGTCAGTAGTACCGACATGGACGTCACATTTAGTGACTGTAACAATAAATAAAATTCATCAGCATATATGTACTTGAAACCAAACAATATACATACACATATGAGGCATGTGGAGAATCCGGTAGGTCTGGTAACAAATACGGATTATATTCTACAAAACCGACGTTACTGTCGATGCTGTTTAAAGCGATATACAATTTTATTTATTTTGTATTATTACACATTTTTCAACGAGTAGGCCATTCAAAGTTTGTTTTCTGCAAACAAAATGTTAAATTGCTGCATTATATTTTGACATATTCACCAAAATATGAAAAATAATAATAATCGTCGTCATTTGTTCATAGTAGTGTAATGATTTTGTGTCACTCATATAGAGCACATCATCTAAATGATCAAAAAAGAACAGCATGAACAACCGAATACATGTGTGACGTCACATCCGTTCATGATGACGAGGAACCCTGGGGGAATATTCAATGTGCTTTGAATTCACAGTGTATAGCTCGTTAGTCAATATGTTGAAACTATCGAGTCACACAACGCTTTGGTGATGTATGCTTTCTGGTATTTGACGCAAAGGAAGTGTGGACTGTACGCATTGCTTGTCATTGTGGAAAATACACCTCTTGTCCATAATTAACGATTTCCATTGTATTTAAATGTGGTGCAGATACATGTAATCACAGTCCCTCAACGGACTGTGGTGAAATCGAGAGAGGGGGAGTAACTATAGAAACGCATCAATTGTTTAATGCGCCGACGTGCGATACGTGCCCTAATAAACACTATTCCAGTTTATTCTAGGTTAAAAATCAAAGGCTATCGCCGATCAGAAGTGAGACAAAATTCACGTACAGACATTTTTCACTTTCCTGACACGTTTTGAATATACGGCCATGCGATTTTACTCGTATCGATATACGATAGCTATATTGATAAGCCGACGGACGGTAAAAAACAGGTGCATGTGTTTATTTCCGGCAACCTTTCGATCACTCTGTTGAAATGAATAATATCATTCCGCATTTACTTACACCAAAGACACTAGATATTGTCTTTGCTTACAAAAATGTTAAACATATTTTTATAAATTCTTTGTCGTTGCAGCACGTTGCTACTGAACGTGAGGATGGCGTCCATCCGTCGGTCAGCTGAAAGGCGTCTCCCAGCATTTTCCTCTAGTGAATAACAAAAATTCGGTGGACACCTTCCTGTTATTCCTTTCATCGATCAATTATTGGAACCACTATTTTCTCAGCATGAATTTCTATAATCTTCACCAGAAGTTTAACTATCATGTGATATCTGCTGATTTACAGAATTCATAATTTATTGGAATTATCGGGCATTATCGGCAATCGCGCTAGTTGTTTAAAAAGTAAATAATGTTGTTTTTACGAAAAATTAGAAAAAAATCACTAATTGCAGTTATCAATATGAAATGAAAAAATCTGACAAAGGTCCACCAAAGAGCATACAAATAAAATATTAATGCAATCGGGATGGTAGTTTTTTCAGAAAGAAATCGAAAAAAAAAAAAACATTTAAAATTTACCAATTTGAAGACTGGTTAAAATATTCGCTCAAAATTGAGAACTGATAAAATATGTCTTGAACGGGGTCACCCCAAGCTCACCTTACACACTAGAAGAAATCAAATAGTGTTCAAGCAAAATTGTCATTCATGAAGTGTTGACAATAAATATAACTTAGAATTGTGCTATATACTTGTTTATAATTGTTAGAGCATTGAAATATTTTTGCAAGAGACTTTGTGCAGGCAGTGAGCAAGAAATAAATCAAAAGCCACAAAGACTTAAACGCACACAACAATATAATCTAGATGTTTAATTAATTTGTAATTATGTCATTGCTCTAACAAAGTCTTATGACTGGCACGTGACAAAGGATGTAGAAAGGCATGTCAGATTGCCTGCGTGAAAGGGAATGTAAATCACTTCTTCAAGTTCAAGGGGCTCATTTTCCAGTTTCATACATTTTAAGGGGAGTTGTATGACGTGATTAATAGGGTGTTTCTGACTTTTCGAGACTAAACGTTTCGAACGTTAAAATGTACCCTTCAAGTATCGATATTTATATAATAATACAATGGCGGACTTGCTGGTTCTTCCAAATTGGGAATTGAAAAAGGGTACTTGGACAACTCCAAGAAGCAGATTTTAAGAAAAAGCCATTAGATTCTCGATGAAGTGTAATAGCGGATTTGATGAGGTACTCGGACGTCTTTAAATGGCAGATTTGATGAAGTGGACCATCTATAAGCGACGGATTTCAAGAGATATTCGGACAACTCTAAAATACGGATTTGACGAGGTACTCGGACAACACTGAATGGCGAATTTGATGAAGAAAACGGACAACTCTAAATGACGGATTTGATGAGGTTCTCGGACAACCCTAAAAAGCGGATTTGATGAAGAAAACGGACAACTCTAAATGGCGGATTTGATGAGGTACCCGGACAACCCTAAATGGCAGATTTGATGAGGTACTCGGACAACCCTAACAAGCGGATTTGAATGGTGGTTTTGATGAGGTACTCATATAACACTATATGGTGGATTTGATGAGGAACTCGAATAACCCTAAATGACGTATATGATGAGGTACCCAGACCTTAAATGGTGGATTTGATGAGGTACACGGACAACCTTTAACGGCAATGTGGTGAGGTTCCCGGACAACCTTAAATGGTGGATTTGATGAGGTACTCGGATAACCCTAAATGACGGATATGATGAGGTACCCAGTCCTTAAATGGTGGATTTGATGAGGTACACGGACAACTTTAAACGGCAATTTGGTGAGGTTCCCGGACAACCTTAAATGGTGGATTTGATGAGGTACTCGGATAACCCTAAATGACGGATATGATGAGGTACCCGGACAACCTTAAATGGTGGATATGATGAGGTACACGTACAAACCTAAAAACTGGATTTGATGAAGAAAATGGACAACTATAAATGGCGGATTTGATGAATTACACGGACAACTCTAAATAGTGGTTTTGATGAGGTACTCGGACAACCCTAAATGCCGTATTTGATTAGGTATACGGACATATCTGAATGGCAGATTTGTTGAGGTACTTGGAC